ACTCTTTCCTGCTTATGCAGGGGGTCGGACTCGATGATCTATTGAGGTCCCTTCCGACCCTAGCATCTATGAATCTATAAGGCTGGGCAGATTTGTACCTTGATAGACTAACTAAATTAGAGAGAGAGATAGCAGAAGCTTTCATGAGCTGGAGCTTACATCATCAAATGGTGTGGAAGGATGTGCACAGAGCAGTGTATAGAATGAAAAGAGTGGTCTGAATGCAAAAAATAGGAAGTGAGAGGAAGATGGGGAGGGAAAGCGGGAGGAGGGCAGTGCTGGAAGAGGCATACAAGCAAGAAGCCATAGGAACAAAGAGTTCACAAAAGCTAATCCAGGTAATGGGATAAGAATCTATAGTCCCTGTTTATACTATAATTAACACAATCCACAATCTGTGGATGATTTCTTGTTCCATAATTTCCAGTTCAAATCAGTCTTTAAAAGTTTGCTGCCTATGAACAGCTACCCTGAGGTCAGTGATGGAGTGGCCAGGGAGGTTCAGGTGTTCTGCCACAAGCCTTTTTGTCTTTCTGGAGCTAACATCAGATCAGTTTTAATTCATTCTTTCTACCTTCCTATCTTTTGTATTCAAATCACTCTCCATTCTATATACTGCTCTGTGCATGTCTTTTGACAGCGTCTGATGAATCTACTCTGCCTTTTGCCTGTTTATTGAGAATTAATGCCCTTTCTGTCCCCAACAATTCCCTTCCTTTTTGCCCCTGGTACCATGGCTTGCAAGGAGATCCTTATAAGGTAGCCCATCCACATCTTCAAGAGTTTCTGCATCAGGGGGATCTTTCCCAGCTGGATTCAGATCTTGTAAGGCCCATTTATGTGTGTTACTCCAGTCCTTTTACTCATTATATAGGAAAGAGAGAGCAAAGGTGAGGATTGCTCATATACTTCTTCATTGTAAAAAATACTTCTTTACATGTGTAAAAAAAGGTTTCTTTGTATATATAATCTGAAGAAAACACCCAAGCTCTCTCCTACAACTGGAGTGTTTCACCAATAGAGGAATGCTGGTATACTGTACTGAGAAAGCAGTCCCAGTACAGACATTGGCACAAAAGTGCACTGCACCAGTACAGTAAAGCCACCCTTGCCCACCAGTAACACAAGTTATACCAGAAAAAAGTATAGTTTTTTACCAGTACAATGATTTCTACAGTAGAGGCTTCTGCTGGCACAACTGTGGCAATCAGGGATCATATGTGTTCACACCGCAGACCAACAGAGCCCAGCTGGCTGAAATGTTTAGCATTAACCTGGCTATAACACAAAGTCAGAGTATAGTCCCAAGATGGCCAATCTTTCTGTCATGTGGGCCATAAAATAAGCCCTCCCCCTCCCCAAAGTCATATCTGACAGGGTCTGCACCCTGCAGTAACAGCAGTGGAGGCAGGGACTTGAGTTTCAGCCTTGCAGAGAAGCAGGAGGCTTGCTGTGAGAGGTGTTGCTGCCTAGAGCCAGGCTAACCCTTCCCTGGTCCTGCAACCATCACTGTTTTAAATGACAAGCAAGGATCCAAAGCCCTGAATTCATCAGTGGCTGCAGGACCAGGCTGACCTGGCTCTTGGCAGTGACGTCCTCTCACAGCAGCATCCTACCCTACTCCATGTGGCCAAAGGCTTGAGGCCCTGAATCCATTCTGGCTCACGTTCCCCACATGGCAGCCACCCATAACTTTTATGACCTGTGTGCTGCAGGTTAGCTTCCCTTGGTATAGTCTCTGAAGAACATATAACAAATGTATGATATTCCAGTCCCCTCATAACCATCTGCCTGACCTCTATCCCAGGGAAGATCTTGGAAAAAATTATCAAAGAGACCATTCCCAACAAACTGGCTAATGGCAACATCCTGAGGGATAGCCGGCATGGGTTTGTTGCAGGTAGGTCTTGCCTGACCAATCTCATCTCCTTCTGTGACCAGGTGACCTATCACCTGGACAAGGGAAAAGAGATTGATGTCATATATCTTGATTTAAAAAAAGCCTTCGATCTGGTATCCCATGAGCATCTCATAGAAAAACTTGCCAACTGCAGTCTCAGCTACATCACAGTCTGATGGCTGGGAAATTGGCTCTGAGGTCAGACCCAGAGAGTGGTAGTTGATGAAAGTCAATCAATGTGGTGTGCCATGACCAGTGGGGTCCCCCAAGGCTCCGTCCTTGGGCCTATACTCTTTAACATCTTCATTAATTATGTGGACATTGGTATCAGAAGCAGACATAGCCAAATTCGCCGATGACACCAAACTTTGGGGTAAAACGTCCACACCTGAGGACAGGATGTGATCCAGGCCAACCTTGACAGTCTCAGAAAATGGGCAGATGAAAACCAGATGACTTTCAATGCTGAAAAATGCAAGGTACTATACCTTGGGAAGAAAAACTCGCAGCATGCTTATAGGCTCGGCAGTGCTACACTTGCTAGCACCACGACCGAAAGGGACTTGGGGGTCATGATTGACCATAAGATAAATATGAGCCACCAATGTGATGTTGCAGCTTGTAAAGTGAGCAAAACTATGGCTTTGTTCCATAAAAGATTTTTTAACCACCCAGGATGTCATCCTCCCACTGTACTCGGCCTTGGTGAGGCCACAGCTGGAGTACTGCATACGATTCTGGGCTCCACAATTTAAAAAGGATGTGAAGAAGCTTGAGAGAGTCCAAAGGAGAGCCACATGCATGATCAGAGGACAAGAGTATAGGCCTTATGATGAGAAGCTGAGAGCCATGGGACTCTTCAGCCTGGAAAAGCACAGGGTCAGGGGGGACCTGGTGGCTGCCTATAAGTATATAAGGGATGTCCATCAGGATCTGGGGGAACGCCTGTTCACCAGAGCACCCCAAGGGATGACAAGGTCAAATGGTCACAAACTCCTCCAAGACCGTTTCAGGCTGGACATAAGGAAGAACTTCTTTACTGTCCAAGCCCCTAAGGCCTGGCACAGACTGCCACCAGAGGTGGTGCAAGCACCTACTCTGGACTCCTTCAAGAGACATTTGGATGTTTATCTTGCTGGGATCCTATGACCCCAGCTGACTTCCTGCCCCTGGGGCAGGGGGCTGGACTCAATGATCTTCCGAGGGCCCTTCCAGCCCTAATGTCTGTGAAATCTATGAAATATTTAGCCCTGGTCAAAAAATAAGCCTTCTGCAAACTTAAATGTCACTTTAAGCTAATCAGTGGTTCAGTTCTGGTCTGGAGTGAGACACATCTGTGGTTAT